ATTTTAAACTCTTTTCTGAATTTTTTTCCCTTTACTTCACAAAATATCATGAGGAATGTCCTAACAGTCATAGGCTTATCTTGATGAATCATTATAAAGCTACTTTGTGCTGATTGATTTTCTCCCCTAAGGAAAAATTGCCATCTACATGACTGTCCTTGGGTGGAGCATGATAGGCACACTGGATCTGCAGAAGAGTTGGTAGGTGGTAAGAAAGAAACAGATAGTGGTTTCATGTTTTTGTATTACTCAAATCTCAGAATAAAAGAAAAGTAAAACCACAGTTTTTCATGTTTAAAAGTAGAATAACTTTTTATTTGTCCTTGGTTCATAATAAATTTAATAAATTGATAAAAATCAACCTTCTAGGGCTACCAGCCTTTTTATTCTGGTACTGGTAAAGAATGAGCACAGTTGTTTTTTATTGTAATTACCTGCCTACATATTTCTGATATGGGAGAATGGCCAAGGTGCATATTTCTGATAAGGAAAACAGGCTCTTGATCAACATGGCTGTAAAAGAAAAGGTATCTGAATAATTGTTATTAGAAATGTTGAAACTAAATATTAAAACAGAAGTTACTACAATTTTATATGTTGAAGTTATATGCATTGTATTTCCTTTTTTTAGTAAGAAAATCATTTTTGAGTTACAACAAAACTATCTGGGGCCCTTTGGAATTGGTGGAGAAGTTATACCCAGAAGCAGAGGAAATAGGAGCCAGTGTCCGGGATTTACCTGGTCTTAAGTAAGTAATCTTATTACTTGTTCATCTCTAACCACAGAAGTGTATTTGCTGTTCCTTAAAAGTACCTCACACTATAGCTTATTATCTTCTCTCAGCCTTAAGTAGTCTTCTTCCATTTTCTGCTAATAAAATTTTGTGCACTCTTTATGGCTCATCTTAAACTTCATTTCCTTTATGAAGTTTTTCTTAGCCCCTTCAGTAAGAATTAACTGCTTTTAAAAATATTCTTATTATATTTTTCCCTTTATTATATCACTTCAATTCTGCAGGAAATTCCAAGTCCTTTCAAGGTAGGAGGTATCAATTATGAATTTCTGTTTCCTGAGTGTTAAGCTGGTTTGCAGTAGTAGGCAGTCAGTAACAATTTGTTGGAGACTGATTTAGGCTAAATCTAGGCAAAAAACTCAGGAGATTTGAGTTTTCAGATAAGCCACTTATATAACATGGGACTTGTGCACATTACTTTTCTTTATCTGAAAATTGGGACATAGAGTGTCACCTGCCTGTTTCACCAGACAAATGTATATGAAATATCCTAATATATTGCTGAATATTTTAGCTAATAACTCAGTGTTGAAAATTTTTTTGCGGATATAAAGTGTTGTTAGGGCCAAGGTCTTATGCTCTTCAGGATATGATTAAGATGTAAGATCTCCATTTAGTTTAATTCTTGTGAATGAGATAACTTTTTTTTTATGCTTAGCGTTTTCTGTCATATGATCAGTTTGCTTTCTCTTAGACAGCTACAGTTTAGGGTTTATATGTTGGTAGCGTTTTCTGGCTGTTACAACATCCAGATGTTTGCAAGTTGTACTTAGTCGAGTTATAAAAGTAAATGGCTACTATTTACTGAACACTGTATCAGGGTAATAAGATAATTATTTTACTTGAATTATCTCATTTAGTGCTTAAATCAGTCTTATAGGGTAGAGGTTATTATACTAATTATATAGATGTGAAAATAGAGGTCAGAGAGGATATAGTTAATAAGTGGCAGAGCCAGGATTCAACCCCAGTTTTTAGAATGAAATAGCATGTGATGTTACACTTGATATTTCTTATAATGGTAGATTAGGTATAGTGATTTTTAACAAAGACAAGAAAAAGGGAATTTCAGCTCTCAGAAAGAGGAAAGATTTGATTTCATTTTAATATGAATATACATGTTCATATTGCTTTTAAAAAGCCAGACTCTAAAAAAGTTAAAAAATGTTTTCTGAAGAATGGTATTTCTTAAAATGCTAAGCCATAAGAAATTCATTAGCTGTTAGAAGTGAAGATTGTTTCCTCCCAACTACCTGCCAAAATGTTCTCTGTATAAGAGAACATGAAAGTGTAAGTGATATTTTTCTCTTTAAAAAATAATACGTATTCTGTAAAATTTGCTTTTGTTTTTACTAAAAGATAGAATTTGGGTAAGAGAGGTACGCGATTTAATTTTAAAAGAAAAATTGGATAAAAGAAACATTTGAAAAAAGCAAGTACCCTGGTGATTTCTCTCTGTTTAATTACCAACTTGGTACCTTCTTAGCTTTGTTATGATTTTTTTACATTCAAATAGAATGTCAGTTATTTTTTGAAGGCATTATACTGCTCTATTGATGCATTTTACATATTGATTTTATTATAATAATTTTTTATTTTTTAGTTGGCATACAATACTATATTAGTTTCAGGTGTACAGCATAGTGATTAGACATCTATATAACTCACAAAGTGATCACTCCAATAAATCTAGTGCCCCTCTGACACTATACATAGTTATTACAATATTATTGGCTATATTCCTTATGCTGTACTTTATGTCTCCATGACTTTTAGTAACTACCAGTTTATACTTCTTAATCTCCTCCCCTTTACCACTGACCCCCTCAACTCCTCTCCCATCTGGTAACCCTCAAAATGTTTTCTGTATCTATAACTATTTTTGTTGGTTTGTTTGTTTATTTGGTTCTTTAGATTTCACGTATACATGCAATCATATGGCCTTTGTCTTCCTCTATCTCACTTACTCCATTCAGCACACTACCATCCAAGCCCATCATGAAATATTTTTTCCCATCCCCTCACTTTTAGTCTGTGTGTGTCTTTTAATCTGAAGTGAGTCTCTTGTAGGCAGCATATGTAAGAGTCTTGTTTTCTTATCCATTCAACCACCCTCTCTATTGACTGGAGCATTTAATTCTTTTTCATTTGAAGTACTTGTTAACAAATATGTAGTTACTGCCATTCTTTATTGATATTTTTGCTACATAATTTTTCTTTTTTTTTTAAATTAAGTTTATTGGGGCCCCTCTCTGTGGAGCATTTAATTCTTTTTCATTTGAAGTACTTGTTAACAAATATGTAGTTACTGCCATTCTTTATTGATATTTTTGCTACATAATTTTTCTTTTTTTTTTAAATTAAGTTTATTGGGGTAACATTGGTCAATACAATTATATAATTTTCAAGTGTACATTATCATTTGACATCTGTATATTCTATTGTGCATTTACCACCCAAAGTCCAATTTCCTTTGGCTACTATATATTTGATCCCTTCTATCCACTTCATCCTCCCTCTCCCCCTCCCATATTTGACCCCCTTTACCCCATCTACCTCCTCCCTCCTTCCCCACCTCCTACCCTCTGGTAACCACTAGTCTATAGTCCATGTCCATGAGTCTCTGTTTCTTTGTCTTGTTCATTAGTTGCTTTTAGGTTTATATCCCACATGTAAGTGATATCATGTGATTTTCAACTTTTTCTGTCTGGCTTATTCCGCTTG